CCCCCCCCCCCCCTCGCACCCACACCGCCGACAGAGGTCTGCCCCGACAGTAATATCATAGAACAGTGTAATCGTAGAAGTCGTGTGCCCCTGTGCAGGAGCGGGGGAGGTAAAAGTTACTTTGCGTGGAAAGTTTAACGTTCCTGAACAAGGAAAGGTGTAGAATAGTACTTATAATAGCATACATGTATTATACGGGAGGGGCATTTAAAACAGGTCACCTGAATAACTAGCTTGTTTTTGACAATAGAAGAAAGTGTCAAACAAAAGTTGCTTGGTTTCGAGGGGCACATAATGTGATGTCAATAATTGTTTTTTTGGTGGAGGCGCTAAAAAGATATGAAGGTCACCTCCACTTTTTTAAATGGAATTATGTAATTTTTTCAAGATAACGTGATTCCTCTAATTATTTTGCATATAAAAGTATTAAGGTAGAGATACCAAAAAACCAATAGTTTTCGAGATATTTTACATTTTATTTTGATACATGTTGACACAAAACGTAACTCGTAAATTGTTGACTTTTTGATTATCGTACCTTAATACTTTTGTGAACAGAATAATGAGATAAATCAAATGGTGTAAAGAAAACACATAGTTGCTTATTTAAAAAATTATCGATTTTGTATACATATTTTTTTTAAAGCAACATGTGTTTTCTTTACACCATTTGATTTATCTCATTATTCTGTTCACAAAAGTATTAAGGTACGATAATCAAAAAGTCAACAGTTTACGAGTTATTTAACATTTTGTGTCAATATGTGTCAAAATAAAGTGTAAAATATCTCGAAAACTATTGGTTTTTTGGTATCTCTACCTTAATACTTTTATATGCAAAATAATTAGAGAAATCAGGTTATCTAAAAAAAATTTCATAATTCCATTTAAAAAAGTGGAGGTAACCTTCATATCTTTTTAACGCCTCCACCAAAAAAACAATTATTGACATCACATTATATGCCCCTCGAAACCAAGCAACTTTTGTTTGACACTTTCTCTTCTATTGTCAAAAACAAGCGAGTTATTCAGGTGACCTGTTTTAAATGTCCCTCGCCTGTATATCATATGTTAATTTTAAAACTATGATTGTTAATAACTTTTTAACGAAGGGCGAGCGACGGCTAAAACTTGTTGCAGGTTACTCAGGGTCATGACCTTGACAACATATGTCAAGGTCAAGGTCATTGAAGGTGGCTCCCCTAAAGTGAACAATTACCGGTATTATCATTACAACCTGACAATAAGAGATTACCCAGCCAGAAATGATAATGGAATCGACATCGGTTCAACGTCAATTTCATGATTTTGACATTGAATCGATTTGACGTCGATTCGACGTCAATTTCATAATTTCGATATTGAAATAACGTCAATTTCATCATTATCATTTCTGGCTATAGGTATTATCTCTTTACAAATGCAATATTGGCAAACATTGAAACTTATAATTATATTTAGAGCGTTTTTCAGTAGTAAGGACACAGTACAACACAAAGAATTATTACATCCTTATTGTTTGCCAATATTAAACAAGAGGTGAAACGATTCACTGTGTTACACTGTAGTCTCTCTTGCTGGAAAATTGTGCCCTTACTAATGCTTCGAGAAGCGCGCCGCGTGTATAAGTTCCTCCGCCGCTGTAGGTGATATTGTTGAACTGTTTGTTCAGCAAGTAACACTTGTGATCGTTGGGTCCATGCCTAGAGATCTGATCAACGTTGCGATATACGCTGCCTCGACCACTGAAGGTAATCAGGGCGACCCGTGCAGCCATCGCGTCCACCGTAAAATCCGACAGAAGCTTCGTCACAAAGCTTAGCTCGCTGCGAAAGTTTTCTGCGCCAACCGAGCCGGATGCGTCCACCAGGAACACCATTTCCACCTGGTACCAAGTCGTTCGGATTATAATTGGAGGATTAGAGACATTAGAGGGTGGATTCAGATTTAGATAAAAAAAGTAGAAAAGCAGCAGTCGCTCAAAACTTGTGCTGGTAGTAGCTAGTTTTGGCTTTCTATACCGTTTACTCTACTTACTACCAGTACAAGTTTCGATTGACTGCTGCTTTTCTGTTAAGGTCTTGAAAACCCACCCTTAGAACCTATAGACTTTATTGACATTCTTTACTTCTCTTAAATCTTGCGTTGAATGCTTTAAGTGCAAAACAAAAAAAAATAGATTAAATTTGGGGATCGATTGTGTATTTTGAAACGAAATGAAAATATAAAAGTGAAAAGATTCATTAGAACATTTAGGTATAATTTTATTGGTCAATATTTAGTGAATTTTGTTGATTTTTATAATTTTCATCTTATTTGAAGGCTGTATTCCAAAATGAAGAAAATTTTATTTGATATAATACAATATATACTTTATTCCAAGATACGTAATCGAACCCCTGCTCTATTATCTTCATCTACCTGATCAGTCTCATTTCGTAATTGATCTATATGCATCTTCAGTAGACGGGACAAGACATCTGTCTTGCTTTTCAGCATTCTGTCGGCATCATTCAGATGCTTGTACCAATAATGTTGACTCTCGTTCGTCTTTTGGTCAAAATTCAGAAAATTTGACGAGACATTATTATCGTTTGAACCGTTCTTCATACCGTTGATCGAGCCTCCGTCGTCATTGCCGATGCGCTCGGCAAAATTTGAAAATAGAGAAAGTACTCCGATTAACAGTGGTAGAATTCTTGAGAGTCCCATTGTTAGACTTTACAAATCACCAATAATGTTAAATAATATTTTAAATTCAAAGATTAATGTTTAAACTTTTGTTTTATTATTGCGATCTATTTATACGGATCGCATTTAGAGGTAAATGGATCAGGCGAGAGAATGCATTTTTTTCTATTCATCCCTGATGAAAATTCTTTTTAGAATTTTTTTCATACAATTTCTTAGAATATTTTTTAGAATTTTTAAAAAAATTTGAAACTTTCTCGAAAGTTTCACAATTTTTAAATAAAAATTGGAGCACTTTTTAGAACTGATGGGAAAATAAATTACATCTCTTCTAGAATTCTTCATAAATGTATAAATACTGAAATATTTTAACATTTTCATTCCACATATAATTTAAAAAAAAAATTTTAAACTTTTTTCAGGTTTCATATAATTAAAATTTCAGAAATGATAAAATGAAAAATCTTAGAATAATACTTTAAAATTTATAATATATCAAAAACTTTAAGAAGATATGTAGACTTAATCTCAATATTCTTGAAAACTGTTTCAATTCGTGGAAAAATTCTAAAAAAAATATTCACCAGAATTAACTGAGCAAAGAGAAGAAAAGAAAGAAACACAAAAATGACAGAGTCTATATCGATTGCTTTGAGAATCGGATGTTGTTTTCGCGATTATCGTAGTAGCCACGAAGAAAAGGATCGTGTCGCGTGAACTGGTCGGTTCTGTGGAGCATCCAAGATCGCGAAAGCACAACGGATCGGATTCGCGTAGAGACGAAGACGTAACTGAGAGCGACGGAATCACCGGCTATAAAAGAACATAACGCATGATGCGAAGACAAGGGGATCTCTGTTCCATCGAGTTTAGAGTTCCTTGACGTGCGCACGTGTCTGTGAGTGATTCACGCGGCTGCCCTCTCGGTCCGTCGAACACGATCCTATCGTATTCGCCGCTAGTAAATCCGCGAATAGATCCAGACATCAATTTCTATTAACGTTAATTCGCCCTGACCATCAAACCGCGTCGACTTCGAAATCACTCCGCGTTTGCGTGGTTCGCTATCTACTCTCGATATTTCGAGCAACGTGTCCCACAATTTTCATTTTTCTTTTTTTAAATTAGAAAAAATGTATAATATGTAAAGACTTTTTTGCCGCTTTTGTCTCGCGAAAAAAAATGAATTGAATGGTTCGACAAAGCTATAGCTTAAATAGCTGGATGCCGCGCGATCAGTTCGACGTCCATAACTAAGAAGATTGATGGTTTAACGAAGAAATTATATCTGTATGCAATTATTAGTATATGCTAATTCACCTAATTCTTTACAATAAAAATGATTAATGGAACACTAATTTTCTTCTTCAGTAGCAAACGTATATACACTATTCTACCTAACATGTCTTTGTTACAAATTTTAATCTGTACGTTGGATTGACTTTTATAGAAAATTATATCTTTGCTGTATTAACAAATTTGCTGTGTTATTGCAACATATGATAACGTAAATGCTAATTTTATTCAGGTGCACAACTTTGCTACTTTAACGTAGAAAACTGGTTGTATTATATTTGTTAAATTAGTGAACTTTTTAGTTGTTTTAATAAATCTTATTTCTTCGTGCTCGTACTTTCTAAATTCTTTGGAGTGAAATCTAAATAGTGAAAATTGAACTATATAGTTTTAAAAAAAAGTGGCTTACATCAATTTTCAACCTGTAAGCTATCATTCTTCAGAGTGACAATTCACTGTAAAAGTTTTAAAGAGTATGGAAAAGAGATGTTTCATGGTGGAGGAAAAAAAAACGCTGCAGTTTCCGCGTGACCAGCATACGTATCGCGTCGCCGCGATTCCGAATCAATTCCGAGTCAATCTCTCGGCTTGTCGTGCGCGCCGATATACACATGCGATGCATACACGTGCGTGCGTGTTACATACGTAAATGCACGTAATCTACGCGTCTTCCCGTCGAAACACGTATTATCGCGTTACTATCGCGTCCCGTTTGGAGACGCGATATGAAAGTATTTGAGTAATTTCTTCTTTATCGTGTACGGATGAATCATTTTTGGTTTGGTCGCGGTCCATCCGAATCCTGAACCAACCCGTCTCTCCCGTGTTCCCGTCTCTCGAGATCTCGAGCAACCGTAAGATGGTACGTTAAAGTTATTATTATTGTGGTGTGCCATGTTAGCCGCAAAGGTCGCATTCCCGGTGCTCTTCCTCGTGAGTCTGGCGACGGAGGCGAGATATCATTCCCGTCTCTCACGCGTACTCCGATCGAGCGACGATCGGTGGTCGTCCCACGCGAGGGAGCGCCGAGAGGAACAGGATTGGTACTTCGAGCAATGTCGTTTCGTGAACGCGTGGAAGGAGCATCTCGGCCATGTAAGCGTACTGGCCTTCCTGGACCCAGCCTGGCAGTACAGCTTCCGACAGGCGATCATGTAAGTCGTAAAGATCGTGACGGTGCATGAGGAACGCGCACGCTGCACGGCGCATCGGAAAGAATCCACACGTTCCTGTTCCTTTTTTTTTTTATCGTGTTTTTTATTAATCGACCACAGGCTCGAACTGCTAAACTCGCGTTTGCGGAAATCCGGTTTCCCGGACATACGATTCTTCCTGATAAGCCCGTCCTCCGATTCAAAAGACGAGAGGAGCGAGGACGATATCGAGATCGAAGCATGGCGGGAGATTGGGGCAAAGTATGAAATGGAGAACATTGTGGATGATAATTTTCTCAAAAATAATGGAACGGATATCATCTTTCTGCAAGACGATCCACAATCTCGTATATGGGAAAGGTTCCGGGCGTCAAAGGAACACGCGATCGTCATTGATAGGTGAGAGAAAGAGAGACAGAAAGAGAGCCCGTAATTCTATTAATATCATTGTTTTCATACTTGCTTAGCAGCGATTGATTTATTTCGTACTATTGCACTTATTTGAATCTATTCACGGAATGGCAGGGCTGGGCATGTATTTAAAATACTTTTATTTGAAAACGATAATTGTAAAACAATTGTATCGTGATTTTGTATTTCAACGGCGTACATGAAAATATTTTGCATTTTTATATTTTGTATTTTAGTATTAATAATGAAAGATTGAATGTATTTTGTATTTTAAATATTATGATATTGAAGAGATTGTTATTATTTAAATTACGAAGTACATAAATAATTTAAGTACAATAACATTATTGATACATGATACATAGTGTAGGTATAATGTAAATAGATAAATTTCTAATTGATTACTTTAGATAGAATTAGTATTAACTATCCCAAAAATTGTGATTTTAGATGTGGAAAGTTGACATATCACGTGATAGTGCCGTGGAGTATTCTGTTCTTTCCTTATGTAAAAGCGGCTATATTATCCACATACGTGGAGGATCCATGCGGAGGATGTGATGTGAGTACATTTCTTTTTCTTTAAAAAAAGCAACGTTCATCTTTTACTCAGCATTGATGATAAAATATTGAGTGCTTACCATTTAATGATACAAATTGACACAAATGTCGTTCTGTCTTTCTTGATATTTCATGAATGAATAATAGAAGAATATTTGTGTTGACTTATGTCATAAAATCGAAAACACCTACGTTATTGTAACTTACGTAACATGGATGACTTGGAATAATTTCAGCCAGCCGTCTATCGAGTGTCGAATCACGAAGACCATGTCATGGAATTAACAAAGAGCACCGAGAAAGAAGTGAGTCCGGCGTACCGCGAGGTCGACTCTAAATTTGAAATAATTTGGACTACCGAGAATCTTCTGGAGAATCTCACACATTTACATCATGAATCATTGTCAGAAGAAGAACGCGAAACGAGCACCGCGTCTTCTATTCTCTTCGAGAAAATCACAAACGATTCCGATCGTGCAAATCTCTCGATGGAGTCGTCAACGGAATTCACAATTTATCAGTATGATAGCAACGCAACCGAATTCAAATTCGACGAAAATCATCTGAATGTAGAAAGTACACTGGGTCAAGAGGATACGACAAATTTCGAAAGCGGTAGTACCGTCTCCAGTGGAATTGCTGCGATCTTTGAATCGCAGGGTAATGTGCTTCCTCCGGAACAAAAGAAAGGATCTCATCCACCAGCGAACAATAATTCGCTCATCTCCACGGATCATGAGGACACGACCGCAGATTGTACTTTATTGCTTAACGAACCAGCGACTGGAGTGACCGAAAGTAACTTAACGTCCGTGAATCAAGAAATGATGACATTGAATTTCACGAACAAGATTCAAGGTACCTATAAATAATATAGAAGTGTAAAAATGTCGGATTTACGGAAAAAAAATTTTTGTTTATTTTCACACAAGTGATACTGAAGTATATAAAGTTGTATAAAGTGAATATAAAATTATGTGAGTATTTTATATTTATTATCCATATAGCATGAAATATTTCTAAAATATTTTATATATCGCAAGATTTAAGATATTTCAGAAATTATTCATGAAATGTTTTTGAAATACAATAAATATGTCCAGAAATACACAAAAGTCCAATAAAACTCTTATTGTTTATGTACAGGAAGTCCAAGTTTTGCAAAGTTTGTATAGATTGTAAGTAAAAATTCAGTTGAATCTCATTTGTCAGAAGGAAAAGAAATGTGCATTCAACTAAGTTATAACGTCATAAATGAGAATTATATAGCTGAGTTTTGAGTTTTTATGTAAATGCGAAGCACAACTAAAAATCAAGAATATTATGTTCATTATCTTAAAATTCCTGACAAAAATAAAAATTGAAGCATAAAATGCATTTTACGTTCCGCTGCTTCAATTTTTACCCTTTTTTCGAAACTTCATTTACACTTCTGTCACTTTCATTTTACTTCAAATATATGCTTCGATTTTTAGTTTCATTAAGGATTATTCTAAC